AGAATGATCGTCCAGAACTTCATTAAACTAGCGCCCCGACGTGTATACAGTAGTCATAGTCACGCTAAAAATAAGCGTGATACGATCAGTTGAACAACGATAACGATAATTAACTCGTATTTCTCATGTCACAAACTCGGGGAGATTTTAATTAATTTTATCGTAGATACATAGAGTAATAATATTAACAAATAATTGTCTGTACACACCTACGCAAAACTTTTAACTTTTGAACCAAATTGAAACCCAGCAATAAATCGTGTTAACGAAGTTCACGCAATAAATATCTATTAATTTATGGTCTAGAGAATTTGTAAAATTTCATTATAAGATTATTTTCCTGTATCTGAAATCAAATTTTAATTGAATAGGAATATTTTGTTTTAAGAATTAAATTTTTTTTTAATAAGTAATCAAGTATTTATAAATGAGATTATATTGATACATTAACGTAATTTTAATTTAAAATTTTAACATTTTTTTTATCAATATATGTATCAAGCATTGCGCAAATAATCGAAAGTTAAAAAATGTATTGCATATGATATGATCTTGCAATAGGTATTATATAGTTATTGTAAATGCTAACTATACGATCATATCGATGAACATCAAGCAAGATATGTATATCATGGTACAAAGAAATGAAGATAGAGAAATAAACATTTTGCGTGCATGTAGATTTAGGTCTCTATTCAATACCAATTCTTAACGACGGTAATGGTACTATTACATTATCGTTGCTCAGGTTTTATACATAGTAAAAAAGATACGTTATATAATATAACGATATCATTACCGTTGTTAAGAGTTATAGAATAGGGGCCTTAAAGGTCTTAATAAGAAAGGAATAAAAAATGCTTTTAGATAAAAAAAACAGCAATTAACCCGATTAGTTGTAAAAAATGTTTAAATCACTTAGTCACCTCGCTATTCCTTTGCGTGAAAAACGATCTGGCTAAATAATCGCTCTCGAGCTTCCGCAAGTGTAATTACCCGACACTTAAGTCGTCTGTCTTATGGCGGCAGCATAGTTTACTGAGCGAGACTTAGGAACTTGTTCACGCTTTCTCGATAATTCAAGCTTACTGTCGAACGGAACTTTCTACGGACCTACAAAGTATCTGAACATCGGCACAAACATATATCACGCATCTAGAATTTCCAGCGCGCAGCATCCAGTTACTACCTTCCATAAAGTATACAGGAAGTTACATGGAATTTGTGAGCGAATTACGTTTTCTTTCGATTGAACTTTAATTGTTTATTAGCTGAAAGATAGTAAGAAAGTTATCAATTTTGTTGAAGAAATAATTAAGTTGCAGAAGTGCAGTAATTGAAATGAAATTTAAAACTGGGTTTAGAATTTCTTAGATCGTACGTACGTGTGTGTGTGTGTGTGTGTGTGTGTGTGTGTTGTGTTTGTTGTGTGTGATCCTGAACTTAACTATATCTCAACATCTTTTAAGGCTTTACCGAAGAAAGTCAGGAACTAGGGTACGCTATATTCTTCCTTCTACACTACATAATGTAACATGCTTTTTTAATGATATTTAAGAGAGAACATTAAATTAAAATACTTTCAAAGACTTAATAAAAGTTACTTAAATTCGACTATTAAAAATTTATTAGACACAGCTTTATAACCATTTTATATTCTTAAGAAAAGTTTAAATGTTCGAAAATTTGAATTTGAAATATTTGTGTCTTTTGATACCCCCCTACATAAATATATCTATTCAATATATTTTATTTAATGCGAATCTATTTAATATTAATAAATATTTATTCATTATATTAAAATTATAGGTTTAGAATATTTGATGTTTTATTTATTCAGAAATAGTATAAAGCGAACAGTAAATTTTATTACAGGAAATCGTTAGCTATTAATTAAAGCATTAAAGAGAAAATGTTGAGTATCGACTTGTGGTATTTGAGAACCTAATTTGCAAGACCTGAAGGTATGTATCTACCGCTTACGATTGCTATTTAGTGGTTGCGCAATTCTCTCTGTTGAACAGCCGATGCTACGCCAACGTAAACGAGTGAATAATGTACGTTGTAGAACACTGTTTCTCTGAACAATATATGAAGATCATTCCTTTAAACAATATTTCAAAGAGATTAAATATTAGTAGTTTGAAAAATTTCGAATATATATTTTATTTACACGAGTACGTTAGCTGTAAAACAAAGTGTAGAGAAAAGGAAGCCCTTTTTCAAATATTTACTGTGCAATAGAGAGTTTCTCTCGTTCGTGCGTTTTTCGAAGCTTGCAGAAATATCAAACAATGTCTATCATGGAAATATATTAATTCTAAAATTTATTCTATACGTGTTATTGTACAATGTAAATATACGTTTTTTTTTTTTATTATAAAAGAACATTTTTAAGTTCTATGCGCTAAGGATGATACTGATGAAACGATTTGCAATGATAATCTTTTAATCATCTAAACATTTCAGTTCATATTGATTTGTTAATGACGGCACAGCAGCGTGCGTAACGCAATTGTTAATTCGCTTCTTGTTTACGTCGCTGTCAGTTTCAATTCCCGTTGTGTGTTTTCACGTATTCGTCGAATACGATATATTGCGATGTAAAACGACGTGTGTTGGGCGAAACATGAACGTCGATCAGTCTCACGGTAAATCATCCGTGTATCGTTGTACATACACGTGAACTGGATGCACGGATGAAACATTCTCTCTCTCTCTCTCTCTCTCTCTCTCTCTCTCTCTCTCTCTCTCTCTCGCGTAGCCTTAAATTATTTTAGCGTTACTGCTAGGTATTATCCCCGTGCTTGTTAGCGTCACGCGCATACACCCAACTTTGAATTTCACGAGAAATATCATCTGATTAGTTCTCCAGGTAAGTTTTGTTAATTATAGATTCCAGTTCTTGTCACATTAAGCTCGAACTGACCTGAAAAGTTATAGGACTGGCTGAAACGCGAGGCGTTTTTATTTAAAAACGAGTCATATTACACAAGTTTTTTTTTTGAAGCTCTACTTTGATATATTTGTACTATCCTTTTTCAATTTTACATGTTCTTTCAAGTTTAACTTTTAAGAAATATTAAGTGTAGTAATGTTAGATCAATAATATATACATAATTTATTTACTAATGCTACTTGCAATATTTTTATCATTACACTAACCTTTATTCTGATTATTATTATAAGAAGGAATCTTCAATGTCTTGGTATTTAATTTTTAATCTTTTATTAAAAATATTTTTCCCCTTCCAAATGACAACATTATTACTACGATTAATCAATAGATTCGGTGTTAATATATAAAATATGCAATATCGTTTCAAGCGAATTATTTGGAGAATAGAAACAGTGATATCGTGAAAATGCTGTAATTTATTATTATCCCATATTACGTAATTTTCTATAATTATTAGAAAAGTAAGTACGTATTGAAATTGATAAATCAGAATAAGATGTAAATACGTTAATACGTTCTTTTTTTTCTTATACTTTTAAGATTATACAGCACTCTCAGTTTTACATTTTTTAAAATAAAGTATATATATTTTTTTATATTTTAAATTTTTAACTTTTTTGTGACGGAGTACATTTTCAATACTAGTATTACTATGCTGAGTATAATCCTCTGAAATCATAGTTTACGCTTTTGTAAAAACTTTCCCGATGTTCTGACTTTATGAATATGCTTCTGTTAACGTTATAACAATAGCTGCTACCTCCTATTCAGGACTAACGAGTGGCTTTTATAAATCTCTTAAGGGACTTTAATTTTAAAGTTCGTAGCTTCTCTTTCTCGCTCTCCTCTCTCATCATTCTGTTATACAGTAATGGGAAAGCTGTACTTTTTAACGTAACGAGGCTGATGTATGTAGAGACAAAACTAAATAATAAAATAATGTTATAATGAAGCATATGTTCAAAGATTTACAAGATTCTTTGATTGTTCCAAATTATCAATTTTTTCTCAATGGAAATTTAATTCTCTATTTCTTTCATAATCTGCTGATTTTTATCATTAAACAATATGATATTATTTTGTTAAAATAAAATTGAACGATTCAGTTCTCAAAAAACGTTTTTATAAAACATTAGTATATCAATATTTTCGCTAAAGAAACAAATTAAAAAAGAACCAAATAATTTTACAGAAATATTTAATGTACATATTATTTATTGTATATGTATATTAGAAAAAAATCATTTAAAAGATTGAGTAAGACTTTTATTTCTGAAATTTTTCGCAATTTCTAATGATGTGTAGAGATTCAATAAATACTGACACGCGCAAGTCTGAAACGCGGATAAATAAATTCTAACTAGTTTGTGGAATCGCGTGAAGTGTAATTTGCTAAAGAATCCGTTAAATTGCCACGAACAGGGTAAAGGTATGTGTTTCTGATGATTAATTAGTTCGTCTTGAACGTGGATGCCTCCCATGCGAAACTACGTATGAGAAATGGATGCTGAATGAGTACAAGGTAGAGTCGCACGACGTAGATCGTGTCAACAGTCTTTCTCTTCCATTAGGTCAATTCAATTAAGTCACGATTATATTTGCGGAAGTATTTCGCCAAGTATTATAAACATACAATTTTTTTCATTATGATTTTTTTTCCAGAATACATATAAAATATACTTCACGAACATTTATGTAAAATGTATACTAACATTCCGGTTTCTGTAATTAACGTAGTATTTGATACGACATTACTTTTGTATTGTAAATGAGAGTGAAATACTAATAGCGGGATTTGGTTTCATTCAGCTTTTATCATTTAGAGTTTGCCATGTTTGGTGAGACTGCTTCATTAGGCCTAATAATTTTACCGCGAAACTTTTATCATACAATTAAATTTATACACGTACCTTTATTCACTTTTATTATGCACTATACACTCATACATTTATTAATTAAAATAAAATTTATCTACTTCTGCTACGTATCTCTTTCAATTTCAAATGTGTGAAGAAATTTTTTCTGTTAAATGCGCGCTTACGTTTTCCTGAAATGTCGCCACGACAGAATGCCACTCTTTTCTTGATCTTCGATTACTGGTACAATGAGGTTGAAAAGTCAGGTAAGTGTCGTATTCTTCCACCACGATTTCTCCGCAATGAGAGCTCACCCGATATTCATGCTACGAGAGGCGGCATGCTACTGGCCAAATCATCCCCTTTCGCCTGCGAGGCACCCCCGTTATTAGGTCGACGGTAGCGCAGCCATGTGGAGGGTTGGACCACTATTATAATCGCTCTAGTTGGCACGTATATTCGGACTTGCCGATTTGGAAATAGCTTGAAATCGCCTCGAAATCGCAGCAATCTTTTTCTATTCTTCATTGCTTATTCGACCATTATACTAAGCATCAACGAACAAAAGTGCAGCCATCTTGACTTGAGAACATTTGCATTTTTGGAACTTTAATAATATATTGACAATATTACAATTTCGTACCATTTTAATATTAATTTCTTTTTTTTCTGTAATTTTTTTTGCTACTTAAGATTATATTTAAACATTTCCTGCTTTGTGTGTTTTATAAAAAGTCCTATTATTTTTAAATAATAAATTCGTAATATTTTTTTTTAAATTAAATGATATAAATATCTTAAAATTAATGTTGCTAAATGTATGTATATTTGACCGATATTATTTTAAAAGATTAGCAAATGTACCAAATGGTTAAATCAATATGAAAATATAAACTGTACCGCTAAGCACTTAAAGTACTTCGTAACCACAATATATTCATTACAGTTCAAAAGTACAATTAAACTACATTAAGACAATTTTCATAATTAAAATAATTATATTTGTCTTATTGTATTTACTTTTCTATCTAAACGTATACCAATTTTCTTTTACTAAATGTCAATTATCTCCTTATTATTAATTAATTAAACACAATCTTAAAAGACTGTAATGTTTGATTTATTCACTTATCGTAGAATCAAAAACTGCGAACCTTTAATCGTGAAACAAGGAAAGGTAATGTATAAAAATAATATGCCAATTGTTTTGATAAAAAAGTCCAGGATATTCGTCCAGAGAAAAAATGATTCTCCAACATATATCGATTTATCTAGAAATAAAATAAAATAATTCTTCAACGTATATCAGTTTGTATTTATTTTTACCGTACAGATCAGCGCTATTTTGACACTATTAAGTCGTTTGCTAATATTGCACTTTTTTATGATAAATACATTGTCCTCTGATTTTACAAAATACATTGACAGTCATTTGTTAAAACTCGTTCGTTGAGAAAGGTCAAGGAGACCTTTTTTTGGAACAATGTGTGTAGGCGTCGATAATTTTTATTTGTGCCCAATCGATGCGAAATGTAATTACAGCATCACTAATTTGTGTCGTATTGTAAATTCCTACTTTACATGATTTTACAGGGTTGATTGTATTGCGATGTATTGGACATGACTAATAAAAAAAACTTTAGTAATAACGCACGACGCAATAACGCGGAGCAAATAAATAATATTGCGTAGCAATCGACTTTTCGCATATTTGCAGAGTGATTGCGTATGTTATTTCCAGGGTTTTTTCTGATCTTTAATCAAACTCATCGCCTGAGGAATATAAGTTAAATGCTATCTTACAAAAAAGAGTCTTGTGCGATAGACAAAGGAAATTTAATTATCTGATTATCTAAAAATGTGCTAGTGTGTCTTAAAATATAACATTTTTAATAATGTGGAATAATTGAATGAAAACTGTTATTTATGGAAAGACTCTGACGAATGAAAGCAACATGATTCTTTTGAAGTGATTTAAAATGCGTTATTTCAGCAGGTAAACTTCCGGAAAGTAATACATATGCGCTGAGAGATACATATAGTGCAATTTTTTACTATGTATCTAGTCTCATGAATCTATCTAAAGTTTTAAAAATGGAAGCGCTACCTGTAATAAAAAGTAGGTGTATCAAACTTGCAATTCTCCGATGGATAAGCTACATGCAAGTTTTATGCGCGGATGTGTATATAAAGAAATGTAAAGCGGAAATTAGTTTCAATATGCGACAACGTAGTAAACACTTTTCGTTACGCTACTGTATTATTAGTGAAAATGAAATATGAAATGTTAAAATAAATCTTATTTGGGAAAATTAATTAAGCAAATAATTTTAATTAATCTTGAAAGCTCATCATTAGAGGTTTAAAATTAAGGGGTCTTAAAATAATAAATGCATGGAATATAATTTTCGAGAATATGTCGTAATTTGCTACATCGCATGCCATCGCTAAATTAATTATCTCGAGTTTTACCTTTACGTCGAGTTTACCTTTACTTTAAATTATATTAAGATTAGATTTATCTTGGTTTTAAAATATCATTATCAAAGATCTTGTCTTTTCAATTCACGTGTAATTTCAGTTGTTGTAATTAATTTATTAATTTGTGGAAACGAATTATTGTAATATTTTCAAAGTTGCACAGGAATTCGAATTAAAAATTAATTTAGCTTCCAAACACACACATATCATTATTTTTAAATTTTCAAAAATTTTACATTGGAAGACATTTTTAATTTAATTATACACAAAGATAATCAGGAATCTTCTATTACCAAATTCAAAATTTAAATACTTTTAATAAATTAAAGCTGGACAAATATTAATATTTTGATAATCAATATGAAATAAAGGTTCCCATAGTGTAAATTCACATGGAATTATTTATAAGCATTAAACGACTCTAGCTTCGCGACAGTTATGGACCTTTATTTCTTATTGATTGTGTTTTCACATGTATAGTTTAATAAGATTTTTTTATTATCAGGAGACGCGATAGTGTCTCCGGCCGTATTCAAAATTTATATGTATTTTGACGTTTTTGAAAAATAATGATAATATTATAAAAAAGAAATTAAAATATACGAAATTAATTAACAATATAATTTATTTATTATAGTGATTGTACACTTAATTTATTATATTGATTGTAATCTTTATATAGATTATTATCTATCACTTTTCATTCATTTATTTAAGTGTTTCAATTTAAATTGTGGTACCATTTGATTTTATCAATAATGAATCTATTTGGTTTTGTCATTGCGATTCTCAGGTTGAGATGGATTATGCTAGATAACATTACTGTGCAATTTCAGTACATGACATTAAAGCGACGCGTAGGATCATCTTCCTCTCGAAATTACTTTAAACCAACTTCTTAGCATTAAATTAATTCATCGCAAAACTAATTTTCTAAATGAACAGCAGTAAGGTATGTACCAGAACAAATTTATCCATTTCAAATGTTGCTTTAAACTTAATATATATTTACTAAAAAATAAATGATAAAATTATGCGATTCTAAAATAAAAAATTGTTAAAAAAAATTTAAAGAATCTTTACTGATATTTTGTAGTTGCGATAAATAATTATACAATATTTTGCTTTTGTTTGTGAGAATATTATCGTAAAATATGCTTGTGAGCTTGTATAAGTTCAATTCTTGCAGGCTCGCGTAGAGAATGATTTATAGTCGAAACGTGCAGCGTACTATATAATAGCGATAGTATTTGCCTTGCAAACATTGTTTTTACATTATAGATTAAAACATTTTTGCATCGATTATTCATTTAATTAATTACATTATATATGCATTAACAATAGTTATATGCATTAACAATAATGCATTAACAATAATTAATTTAATTATTACAATATGCATCCAAAATTCAATTTACATATTACTTGTAAATTGTTTAACTATTTACAATTTATACATTACTTTTAAATTGTAATTGAGATGTGTTATTGAGATTGCTTTTTCAACTTATACATATAGTTATTTCTTTTATGACTTATTCTTCTTTTACTGTGACAGTTTGATTCATGTTAATAAATCAAGGATTATTTTAAAAAGATTTAATTAATATTCGATTTCTTATAGAATTGAAGAAGTAAACTTATAGTTTCCAAAATAGAGAAAACAAAAATAATTTGCTTTATAAAACAGGTAAAAATGCAATATTATAAATATTTTATAAACATATATTATCTAATACTTTACATTTTTGTATTTGCTTTTTATTTTAATTTACAAATATAATAAATGAAAATTTTATGATTTATTTGGTAACAATTTATTATATTTTATTCTTGATATTTTATTGTAATATCCTACTCTGCCATATAAAATTAAAACTTCAGATTTTTTGTTATATTTTTAAAAATTAACCTCTGCAAAATGTAAGAAAAAAATATTTTAATTTTGCATTTTTTAATTTTCGTATTAAATTCAAATGTTCAAAATAAAATGTTATCTCTTATAAAGATGATTCAGATTGTAAACTCAAATGTTTTTCTTTCTTTTCCTATATGGTAATCGCTAGTACGCGCAAAGGGGAACGTTTGCATGTATCTTTTGGATCTATACGACGATTGCAAAGCCGAGTATGTAGATTCTTAGAACGGCATGAAAGAGCCTGCATATCTAAAGAATATTCTTGGAAAGGAAATTTTCCAGAAAATTCAGGTTAAGAAATTTTACAGTAAATATCTAATTATGTTTTAATCTAAAAAAAATAGATATTAGAATATTAGAATCTTTAAAAATGTTATACAAACCTTAGTTTTTCAGAAAAATCTTATTTTTCGACAAAAAGATCGAAACTATGAAGCATTTATCAAAGCTAAAACATAATTTATTAAGATGAAATCATAATTGACATAATATGCCATAATTAGGCCATTGTTTAAGGCTCATTACTAAATCTTAGTTGCGTGCAACTACAAAGGAGTTAATGCTCGTGATTTGCAAGTCCACTTCGGTTCAGTTACGTCCGCCTGTAACTCATGATTTACAGTGTACCCTGTATGTACACAGAACTAAGAGCTATTATTCAGTTCCGTAACGTCTCGAATTTCAGTAATGTTTATTACTGCTAATGTCAGTTGTTAAATGGTCCAGACAGCTGCACACAAAGGGATAGGAGAGATACACTCGACGTATAATGAATTAAAGGTAAATTATGTATCTCTGATTATACGTATATACACATAGAATATTACAAAGAACTCCCTCCGTTGGCGTATTCGCGGGAAATTTGTTTAATTAAGCGACTATTGATACAAAGATATCGCAATCCATTATCCAGCATTTGTTATACATGCAGGCAAATTCTCATAAATTTGCGATTTCTATATTATGTCGTATTCTCAGAATGGAAGCTCGATATAATTAATAAAAGATGTTATTCACTGAGAAGAATGTCTGATTAAAAATGAATGAACCGGAAAATTCTGATTATATCATTCAGAGTTTCGGTTATCTCAATTAGAATTCTCAAAAGAGTCATCCATTTTTAACTAGAATTCCAATTAACTCGACATTTTTCTCAGTATTGTTATGATTAGTATATTTTAACGCAAGTTATATGTAGTATATATATATGTGTATATATATATATATATACTACATATAACTTAAATGTAATAAGTATTAATAAATATGACCGTTTTGACGGATATAGTAGCAATTTTATTCGAGTGCTTTTAATTATTTCAATAATTTAAAATATTCAATAATATAACTAAAAAGTTGATTATTATAATTTTAGTAGCTTTCTCAACCATTGTTTATACCAAATATCGTTAATTTCTGGCAATAATATATGATCATATTTATCTTCTATGCTATTTGCTGCGTTCGATTCTACCACGTCATACTGAAAGAAGCAATGTTAGTAAAATATACATGTAATAAATAATAAAATATCATACAATGTAAATAATAATAAAACATACATATAATAAGTAACCAAATTGTATATATGATATTTACTTACAGTTTTGTGCACTCGATTGTAGTCTTTATTGTAAATTCGCGGTCCATTCCGACGATAAACCGGAATTTGTACGGTACCATGTAAAATTAATGTAAATATTCCAATCATGCCGTTATTTTGTTCCGGGCCTATCTGAAAGGATGTAAATATACATGATCAAATATGCATGCGAAGAAATAATTTCAATGAATCAATGTATGCGATAAATCAATTAAACGTTTCAATAATTTATTGTATGTAATTGTTACTCAGTCGATATTTTCCGTGGGTTCCACGGATATATTCTTTTATAAAAAAGAAATCTTTGGAGATTAATTTTTTACTGGTATATGTAGATATTATGTAGATATGCAGATTTATTCATACAGATATATTTGTATGTGGTATACATAGACCTTCGAAATCCATGGGCTGTAATTTGAGATGTTTGATGGATAAGGGAGTAAGTCCCTTCTACTTTATGTGCCCAACCAAAATACTTTTCCTGAATTTATATAGTTACTATTATTATTAAATACATATGTTTTGGGAACGATATATTGCGTCGAATAATATATCTGTATTTTTAATATAAAATGTTTCTATGGTAAAATATAAAGTTTTCTTATACGAAAATGAATAATTCAAGTAGATATTATTTTATCAAAAGTAAATTAAATATCGTTAAAATCGTTAAAAACAACCTGAAAAGAGTAGTTTTTTAAGAGTTGTGAAATGAAAATGACAAAAATGACATGATCAGGTTAAGAACATATTCTTTTTGTTGATATTATGTGATTAGTTCATAATTTCAAGTTGAAAAATAGCTTTTACTCTTTTCTAAGAAATTTAACTTTTTGAGATGTATTATTTTCGAAATAAAGGAGCGATATAGTGAATCAATAATAGAATTTAGTATAAGACATTTTCTCAGTTTTACTTCGTCAAGTATGTCCAAGGTCCACGTTCCTCGAGGATCTTCGCCCCACGTCGCGACGGACATGAATTTCCACTTCACGAAACCAGCGTTAGAATTATCCAACTTCCTTGGACTTAGAATCTGGACTGAGGTCCCTAATAAATGAAGCACATGGTTTGCATAAGTAGAATTTGTGTATACATGAATGCGCAAATGCAATTTTAAGGATATCATGATAAATATCTTCTCTTATACGGTATTTTTGTTACATTACAGGAAACAAAGGTAGCATTACATTAATATGAAAACGTTAAATTGGTTTATACGTTGGTTATTACAAGCACGCGTACATACATTCCATTTAGTTTAACATAATTAAATACGATCGATTCTGCAAAACACGAAAACATTTATACAGTTGCATGTGAACATCATCGATTTTTTCTTATAGGTGTTGTAAGCTTGCCATTTTGATTAACGTTATACACACGACCTAATTACAAAGTGCAAAATAAAAGAAAATAACATTTTTTTAAAGTAAATTTTCACGATAACACGTATGAACTATTTTACCTTATTGCTTAATTAATGTTAATTGCAAGCATCTCTTGATATAATTAATAGAAAAATTGTTTGTCATTTCACAATAAATAAAATATGAATATTATTAGCCAAAAAGTATTTTTTACATCTATTTTTTTTAAGAGGAACAGAAATATAAGTTTAAAATAAAATTTTATACATTTCAATTTAACAATATCAGAAATAACAACAAAAATATAAAATATAAAAAATCATATTGTTTTATTCTAGAAATTTTTTTATAAAAATAATTTAATAGAGAGAAAAAATAGAGAAAAAGAGTATTCAATATTTTTATGAAATGGTTTAACAAAAATTTAAAGAATTAAAAGTTTTTAATAATTTACGTGAACAAATAAACGTCCAAAAGATTAAAATTTTTTCTTAAAGCTCTTAATCCAAAAAACTTGATATTAAAAGTTACTTTCTATTATTATAAAGAAAGGCTCAACATTTTTTCTGCTTTATATTTATTATATTATATTTATTTTAAAAAATGTAATATAATAATGATTTGAAACAAAAAGAGTGTTCTCGCTGATTCTGTTAGTTAAATCAGAAAATATAAAAGTAAAAAGGAATAAATTCCAAAGTTATATTGTTACATTAGATGTCTGGATGTTTTTATTCACTTCTTTCTTGCATTTTAATACATTTCGGATTTCTTTCAGTATTCTGATGCGAGTGACGTCGTTTGTCGATAACAACGTCAATCGGAAAACGTGTACGGAATTAAATAACGCGATGTATTGGCCGATGTGATGATTGGTATCTATTCGTTCGTGTCCACGTTTAAAGCACCGTTCTATTTGATACAAAGTTATAGAGTTTCTTTCTGGCATTTATTATACATTTATAAGGTTTATACAGTAAAGTACGTGACTAAACGCAATATTCGACAATCATTATTGAACGAATAAATCCTATTTCTATCCAATTCTGTACCTTTTCGAATAAACAGGCCGCATCGAAGTAGCATTAAATTGAATTTCTTGCTATAAATTGAAGTAAGAACGTATTTATGCTGTTAACTGCATTTACTATGCGACACAGAAACGTGACTTGCAATATTAATGGTAGTATTAATTCTGCTGGAATTATCATTAGGATCCGTTCGTTATTTGCTGTCTTTCCAAAGCTATGTTACATCAAATTATATAATATTTCTTATATAATAATTATATAATATTTCTGATCGATAAACTTAAAATTGCGTAATGTTTATTAATGTCATTCACTTAAAAAAATCTTTTAAACATTTACTTTAATAATATAGGATAAATATTTTTAAATAATAAAACATTTTGGTACTAAAATATAATTTAAAATTTTGTACAAATAAATACAAAAATAAATAATTAGATTTCGCTCGTTTTTTTTGTAAAACAAAGTATAAAGAAAAACAGTATAAATCGAGCGGTAATAAGATTTTTTAATTATTAGATTTCTAGTTTACTATATTACTAAGAAATATAAAATAAAAATATATAAAAGTATAAAAATATCGAATGTTTTGGAACTCATAGGTCCTTCTTCAGCGATTCATAAAGATGTTTCGATGTCAATAAGATAAAGGTATAATCTGACGGTCAAAGCGACATGGTGTGGTATTATACTGGTATAACAATTTGTTTGAAGAGAAATGATTCTCCTGTTTTTGTGTGCATGTAGAAATTGTGTCTAAATTTAATTTTTAATTGCATTAACAAAAGGATCAAAAAAATTATATATGAGAAATTGAACACAGATTGTTGACAATGTGATTTTAGAAAATAGCAATAAACATAATAAAAAATTATTATACAAAAATGAATTATTTTCTATATTAGATTACATAAGAAAAGATGATTATTTAAAATAAACAACACTAAGAAAAAAAGGCAATGTAAGAGTCAAACAATTAAATTAATGTAACGTCTAGTTAAAACAGATTTTTAAAAACATAATTAATCCATAAATATAAAAACATATATATAACTACTTAAAATATGTATAATAACGTAATCGTAAAATTCGACATTCCCTATTATAAATTTTGGCTCTTGAATTGATTATTTGATCCTTGATGATTATTTAATTCTATGATAAATACAAGTATGTAATGTATAAAGATATGTGTATGTATATTAAAAATCTTTCTTTCTATAAAAGTTCAATTTTTATCTTCCCTTCGTGGAACCATCAATATCTTTTTTTTATTTCAAACGTTACATAATTATATTGCTTAACATAATTTAGCTACATATTTAATCATTACATGTATTAATTATTACTATTTATATATGCATTTATATACTAATTATTTAATGTATTAATTATTATTATTAATTACATATTTAATATATTAATTATGTTATTTTTTCTTCAAATCTATGTATTTTTTCTATTCGCATTTTTCAATTACTTCTTCTTTCATAAATTCAAACGCAATCATGAATAGAACTCGATAATTTTGGTTGATGAGTGAATTGCTATGCATATAAGTTAAATATATTTGCATTTAACTTCCGAGAATATTCTTAGAGACTTCATCCCCGATGTAATTATAAAGGATTTTCCTTGCTTGATATTTTTAGAACTTTTCTAAATATTTTCTCTCAAATATTTTCTATCTAAGAACGTAAAACAGTCCATTCCGCGACTATTTTCATGGTTATTCCCTCGTCTTTCTGTTTTTTCACTTCTATAAATCAGACATAAATTAAAATTGACGTTTTCAGAGGTACATTTCAAATAAAGCATAGTCAAGTAAACTGACTCAGGAGACTTATGCGACCTTGTTTGTTGCATAAAAAAGTTTTATTAAAAGTACTACTTTTTAATACTTTTGTTTCTTTTCCCAATACGGACTATAACTACTATAGTCCAAAGCTTAGAAACAAAAAAGTTCTATTTTTTAATTCTATTGCACATATATACAAATTTAATTTACTAACAGTAGCACGTAGAGAAAATTTTGAAGAGAAATGATTGAAAAGTCAAAAATCAAATCTATAACCTACCTGAAGGCGCAGTCAGGCGCATCTGCAGTGCCCCGCGACGAGAATATTTGAGATTCGCCTCGACTTCCACGTGCTCCAAAAACATTATTTCACTCCCCGATGTCCGGCAAACGTTAGTAGCATTGAATTGCAATTTCTTTAAACATCTATATGTCAGTCTGAAATCGGCACTGCAACCATTTACATTGCATATTTATATGTATAAGCAATAAATTTGAAAATAAGCGTTTTACAAAAATCAAAGTTATTGAATAATCTTGAAATAATGACAGAACACAAGAAGAACTTATGGACTTTGATGTATAATTGAAATTTGTAGAAATTCTTTCATACAATTTCTATTAAAAAAACGCAACATATTATATATATATAAATATCGATATAACTTTATGTGTAATGATATATTGTATTAGTTCTACATTTAGTTATTTTATTAGTTATAAAAGATTTATATAACTATAATAATTATAAAATAACAATTTAAATGGACTTAAAAGTTCAATTTTTATCTTCCCTTCGTGGAACCATCAATATCTTTTTTTTATTTCAAACGTTACATAATTATATTGCTTAACATAATTTAGCTACATATTTAATCATTACATGTATTAATTATTACTATTTATATATGCATTTATATACTAATTATTTAATGTATTAATTATTATTATTAATTACATATTTAATATATTAATTATGTTATTTTTTCTTCAAATCTATGTATTTTTTCTATTCGCATTTTTCAATTACTTCTTCTTTCATAAATTCAAACGCAATCATGAATAGAACTCGATAATTTTGGTTGATGAGTGAATTGCTATGCATATAAGTTAAATATATTTGCATTTAACTTCCGAGAATATTCTTAGAGACTTCATCCCCGATGTAATTATAAAGGATTTTCCTTGCTTGATATTTTTAGAACTTTTCTAAATATTTTCTCTCAAATATTTTCTATCTAAGAACGTAAAACAGTCCATTCCGCGACTATTTTCATGGTTATTCCCTCGTCTTTCTGTTTTTTCACTTCTATAAATCAGACATAAATTAAAATTGACGTTTTCAGAGGTACATTTCAAATAAAGCATAGTCAAGTAAACTGACTCAGGAGACTTATGCGACCTTGTTTGTTGCATAAAAAAGTTTTATTAAAAGTACTACTTTTTAATACTTTTGTTTCTTTTCCCAATACGGACTATAACTACTATAGTCCAAAGCTTAGAAACAAAAAAGTTCTATTTTTTAATTCTATTGCACATATATACAAATTTAATTTACTAACAGTAGCACGTAGAGAAAATTTTGAAGAGAAATGATTGAAAAGTCAAAAATCAAATCTATAACCTACCTGAAGGCGCAGTCAGGCGCATCTGCAGTGCCCCGCGACGAGAATATTTGAGATTCGCCTCGACTTCCACGTGCTCCAAAAACATTATTTCACTCCCCGATGTCCGGCAAACGTTAGTAGCATTGAATTGCAATTTCTTTAAACATCTATATGTCAGTCTGAAATCGGCACTGCAACCATTTACATTGCATATTTATATGTATAAGCAATAAATTTGAAAATAAGCGTTTTACAAAAATCAAAGTTATTGAATAATCTTGAAATAATGACAGAACACAAGAAGAACTTATGGACTTTGATGTATAATTGAAATTTGTAGAAATTCTTTCATACAATTTCTATTAAAAAAACGCAACATATTATATATATATAAATATCGATATAACTTTATGTGTAATGATATATTGTATTAGTTCTACATTTAGTTATTTTTATTATGACCATTGCGTTTTAATTAATTTTGCTGTATGCTGAAGATGACTGGAAGTCAGTCGAAACGTCCGGAAGTTGGATTGGTTCTGTAACCTTAAAATTAAAATATTATTACGCACTTATAACAGCGGTGATTATTTACTCTCATTCGTCCTAGATACATAAAATTTGTGTTATAATAATTATATACTATATAATATAGCTATAAACCATTTTCTCAGCATTCTTTTGAAATATATAAATTTTAATGCATCATATATTTATGATAAGATATACAATATATGATAAGATATGTCATAATTTATAGATAAGAATAACGATATGATAATACTGTAGAGCATCGCGTAAAAAGCCCGAAGCTGTTTTCGTGAGTATCTCATCACTCACAAAGGGATTATGAGAGTAATCGCAAAGCTTAGTACAAAGTAGGTAACAACATGGACATGAAACAAGGTAAATCCTCAAAGTGTAGAGATACGTGCACGTGTGTATTTATATTACATAGGTTAAAGAGACATCTTGTAACGAGATAAACATCCATTTTCGGTCACATGTACGAGAGATCATGACATTTTGAAATGATTATGCATATTTAGCGATCTAATATGATAAGTACGAAAAGTTCTATTTCCTTTCGATGCTAAATAAAATACTCTATCTAGGAACGTATTTCGAAGAAAAGTCCTCCATGATGCTCCATTTTCTCGCTTCTATCGCACTGTCGTAATGTAACGAATGAAGACTTTTATGACCTTCTTCAAGTTAATGATGTGCTTCTTATCTTGCGCTTCTTCGAGCATCTGCAAATACTTCTCCGAAAAACGAGATCGCCGAATTCGATTGATGCGACATTATTCGAGAATTATAAAATGGCACGAGAGGTCTTTATTCTTTTAGCATTTGTGACGTAAAATAAAATGTAACGCGATGTTTGTAATAGTAGTAAGTCTAAAGCTGTAAGAAATTGATCAGTTATAGTCGAATGTAAAGAGAATAATTGACTATAATTAATAATTTTTTTATTACTTTATTATAGACATTGCGTTAGATTTTATTCAGCATAAATATATAACTAGATATTATAAAAGTCTATCTGCATTAATAACTCATCGTTAAAAAATCCGCGTTAATATTTTGCTTAATAAATTAGAATTTAATTTTGCAATTATATGCAGTTCTAAGCAATTAAAACAAAGTAAAAAAAAAAACAAGATTTGTAAGATCGAGTGTTTTGTTATTCCAATAAATTTAAATATAAATTACACTAAATGCTGCGTGAATATATTTGCTTCTGTTTAAGCAAGAACGGAAGCGTTTAATCAATTTTATTCGTAAGACCTATGCTGCCCAGTTAGTATGATGTTCGCATATCACCCAATTAAGCCACCGCTCTAAATCCGCTAAACTAATTTACTCACATATACGCGTTATCCACTCTGCAAATAGTCTTCTCCGGTACTGTCGTCCAGTTGTAGCTCGCCATTACCAATGCGTACGCGTTCATAAGTCCAAAACCGAAGTGTGAGTTGAACCAAAATCCAGCAGCGTTTTTAAACCAGCCCGGATTTCCGCTGAAAATTTATTCAAATATTAAAGTTCCTATCCTGGGAAAGAAGCTGCCGTGACCATATGCAAAGTAGAAAAAACTGTTCTCGACCTCTTTTGATTTCCTTTTCTCTTATTAAAATTTTTATAATGGAAGTAAAATGATATTCGTATTATTATTATTGGAATTTTTCAAAGTAACAATGGCTCCGGAAGAGTATTATTACAATGAAGCTTGATATTGATATCCCTTGAATAAAAATAAAATATTTTATAGCACTAATAGTCAAATATCACATGTTTCCGTATGAAATATGATTACAACTATTACTCATCAACGTGAACGGTATACGTTTCTATGAAAGCTATCACGATCGTTTTTATAATTTACAAGACGACAATAGAAGGCAATTAGCACGGAATATAAATTACACGAGAACGAGCAATAACGGATAGAAATATGTATGACCATCTGCATACGCATCCCAGTAGGCAGATCGAACAACAATTTTTCTCGCGTTAGATGTATGCGTGACCTCGTTTCTTTGACAACTATTCAATAAAAGTTACATATCATTGTTTGAAATAATTTTCATGCATGACACAATTGTGACTTGTGTGTTTGATGATCGTGAAAAATGTAACAAATATATTCGATATTTTTCAAAATGTCAAAAAATTATTTTGGATTTTTCAAACAAGTATTGATTAAAATTTTCAAAAACTAAACTCATCAATTCCATAAAATGAAAAGAAAGAGAAAATTGATGAAGTTATAATCGTGTGCTCAGGTACTAAAATATAAAAAAAATGAAATGTAAAGTTAACTAGAGTTCAACTTCTGAAAGCTTTAATTAGATCTCGATATCATTTTATTTCAAGAATCCTTTTGCGACCTCGCTTGTCAATCACGGTCAATCGCACTGAGAATTATTTTTAACGGCATATCGAGAAAAATTATTTCCTGCAGGTTTCACCTAAATTATGGTTTCATATTGCAAACAACGTCACGACCTATTTTGCCGTAACATGAGAGAATAAGAATTTAAACTGACACAATTGCAGATACACGTGGCCTGAATTGTTATTCGAGATACGCTCACCTGAGAGGAATGTATTCCGATGACCAAGCTATTAGATGCTGAATGTCCCTCCACGTTAAGTTGTTGCTACAAAAATAAGGAAATATTAATATCGTCTTCGATTAGAATATTGATACTTACTGCTGAAATAACGTTTTTATTTAAAGTATAGATTAACAGAGAAAAGATCGAGCTCAATATACTGCAGCTTTTTAGTATAGATTATATTGAATAATACATATACTTTATATTGGTTGTGTGTACACATTTTTATAATATGTTTAGTTTTCACATATGATAGAAAGATACGTAAAAAACGATATATAGAGTATATATATATATATATGTATGTATATAGTATATTCGAAAAATTAAATAGATACATATACATTTATGATTTAGATTATATTGATATATTTATAGCCACAAGAAATTAAATCACATAAAAAGAATTATACAAAGTATAAAAATAATAATAATAATAAGAACTAAAACTAATTTTGATAAAAAATTCAAATTTTCATGATAAAAATAATTTATGATCCAAATTATCTATTTAATTCTAATGTATAAATACAAATTTCTGAGTATACTTTTAATGCGTGTATTGTTATGAATTATATACTATTCGTATTTCGTCCTATTTGTTTAATATATATGTATTTTACACTAATTGTGTTGCATGCAATTGTACTGTTAATTATACTGTTTGTTTTGTTATAATTATATGTTATAGTTATTTGATATTATAATAAAGTTCAAATTTTAATTTCTTGAGTTTATGAGATTCGGGGTTAATAAAGAGATGTATTGTAACTATTAATATAGGTATAGAGGGTGAATACTGTCACGAGGAAAGAAAATTTGGGCCGGAGTATCTCTTTTCACTGACGGCGCAACTAAAAATAAAACGTAGCTGAGTATTAGTAATCAAGTTAGCATTTCCAGGTTTCAAAGAAAAGTTTCAATGGGGAATTGCTGGTAGTATGATCGTACTTTACTTGCAGCGCGAGAGCCAATATTCCAGCGGCTAATGGGGCGGAAGCTGAAGTACCCGTGTGCCTAGTCGTGCAGGTGTTTCGTAGATCCGTTGTTGCCTGCGCAGTGCAAATGAAAGTTATTAAATTATTCAAGCGCTCTTTTGTAAGGTGAATCTTGTTCTCTCACATGCGGATATTTATCGTTTTAAAAGAGATGTTAAAAAGTCAAATTAACATAATTGAGAATTTTGTATGGAATAAGGCATTACATTGCTACTCTCAGTAAAAGTTTAGTTTTATTACATTTACGTGCGCAACAGAAATATACTTTAAGGAATTATGTGATTTATGAGTTATTTCCGTGTCTTACAATTAATACATTATTAAATGCTAACGTTTCCTGAATATTGCAGTCTACTTCGTCAGAGCGAGAGGCAACCTAATGTTTACAACTGTAGAGTATCAGGTTGCTTCTCGCCCTGATGAAGTGAACAATGTTTATGAAACGTTATAGCATTTAAAGATATAACAAGACACGGAGGTAACCGGAAATTACACGGAAATCGTATAACATCCTTGAAGAAAATACTCGTGAAGCTTTAAAAGTATTATTAATATATGTAATATACTTTCTTTGTTTTGCAGATATAAGTTCAAAAGGAAATTAAAAAAATTTAATGTAAAAAATGAGATATCAAAATGTTGCATGCCTCATACAATCACGTTTTATAAATAAAATACACACGGAATTGTCAATCAATTTTTATTCAATTTCTGTTTTTCCAATTCAATTAACACACCGCGAGCTAGAAAAGAACTTACTATCATTTGATCATAATACGCGCCGCTGCTGTATGTCGTAGCGAGAGTAGCAGGACATCTTTCTCCATACCAAGGAAATCTTCCGGTTTGACTAGCTGATCCGACAGCTACGGTGTATATGCTTCCAACGTATCCGTCACATCCGCAGTCATCCGATTTAGAGCCACCATTCCCAGAAGCCCAAACATAAATGTTACCTTTGCCGTTGCGACCCTGTCAAATATTCAAATATTAATATTGCCACAAACGATATCAAAGCAAATTAATTTACAAAGTGATAAAACTTTCACGTTATACTATGTTGAATTGCAGATAATTTATTTAAACAAATAATTTATTAACAAGCTAAAATGAAGAGAAATACGAATTAAAACTAAATGAAGAAGAAAACTTTGTATATTATAAAATGACTGCAATATTTTGGAAAGTATGTTCGCAGAAAGAAAGATGCTGTTGCATAAAAGATGCCGTTATAAATATGCACAAGTAAATCGAGCCTTTCCCTCAGGCCGTTGTTAGACTCTTCTCGTCCATATTTAATCCTCGAAAAGAAATGAGAAGAGAACTTTATAAACGCGAGCGTTTTACAAGCTTACTCTCTTTGAAGCCCTGGGACTAATGTCTGTGGTAATATTAAAGCCGACATATATACGTTTGGAATCATATACAAAACGTATTTATTGATAAAACAAAATTCGAAAATCAGAACAACCTCAAAACTCTCAAAACTTTGTTTATTTTATTAGTTCAGACAAACAAATTTTTGATGATCGTGAGATAAATTTATTTTGCCGGACGTTCACGTAAAGTATATACGCAGTATTTGCATAAATCACGAAATATCATAAAAAAATGAACCAGTAAAGATAAGTTTGTAACAAGTAAAAAAAGAACCGTTAAAAATTTTATACTGTTTAAAAAAGTAATCAATAAGTAACGTATCACCGTAGAAAACATTGTTAAACTTTAACTATGTTGAGTTAAGCTTAGTTGGTGTTAAAGGCTTGTTTAAACATTAAATTACCAGAAAATCTGTTTCACTCTGACGTAAAGTTCAACCCACTCGTAATCCTATTAGAGAGACTTTCGAGTACGAAGCTTCCATACTTCTATTTTTTTTCATAAATGTTTTCAGAAACAAAACATACGATTTTATATTTTAGTTTTATATTTAAAAAAATTTAAAACATAATGCTTAATGAAAAAATTTCGCTACATTTTCAAAAATTACCGATAATTATAGGATTAGCTTTGCCTTTAGGATAATCTATTATTTGTTTCAATTTCGAGGCTCAAATCTAAATTATATACAATTATAATATAAATCTTTTCTCTGTTAAGACATTTTTTTTACAAGAAATTTAATTTTAAGAGATATGTTTATTATAAAATATTTTAGAAAATTTTGGTACCATCTGACCTCTGTTATGCCACGTTTGAGCGCTTCAATAGCGAGTCTACCAGGTGCCTCCAAACTTTTCCCATCGTCCGCTGGTCCCCAAGAAGCCGTGTAGATGTCAATAAGTTCGGATCTGTATCCCAACGCTTCGCCTTCTACACGATCGTTTACTAGACCATCGAGGAGCTTGATGCCACCGATGGATGCCTCGAAAGCAACACCGACGCCACATTTTTGGTTGTTGGCTTCCATTGCTATCTCACCAGCGCACCTGGTGCCGTGACCGTTCATCCCTGAGGAGAAGTTGAATTTGTAATATGATCGTGAAACAGTAATGTTCAATCGGGTCGGCGAAGTTCGCCGAAGTCCGTCGTGGAGAGCAATCAAACGATGGTAACATCTATGTGAGATATTTCGTTATGTAGTATGCTGCATTACTCGACTTTGAAATTCAAACTACAACCGTACGTAATTTCATGCGGGCGATATAATATCCACTGATAAAAATGCAAGCAGTATGTCTTGTAGGATATAATTATATAAAGAAGAAACGCTTTCCCATCATGTATTTTATTAGAATTTCTGCAAAGTTACCTTAGACCTCTATTGTGTTTATAAAAAATCTAATTTTAATTTATAAAAATTTTCATTTATAATAACTGTTTTAAGAAATATAGAAATATAGAAATAATTTTTTTTCCGAAAGAGAATTTGATGTGGAGAAAAAATTTTTAAATATTAAAACTTTAATGTTAAGTAATAATTATTAACATATATTTTATTTAAATGTGCAGCAATCAAAATCGTATCGTTTGCGTTTTGCATGATTGATTCAATCTATATGGTGTGTGTAACGGCAGTTCATTAATAAACTAGAAATTAAACTGTAAATTTGTGAATGGATTGATCTGAAGACAAAGCGACTGACGACTATATTCAATGTAGTTTCACCCAAATTTCATTAATATCGAGCGTTAACACTTTTCCTCCTCCTCTCTTATCAGCAAGCGAATTATTTATTAAATCATATTGATCAAATTCTTACATACGTCGTTACTACGTTATTCGAATGACCGAGTTGCAAATATCTCCATCCTATGTTTTAACATTCATAAGAATATAATAAACATGATATAATAACATAAAAATATAAGGATTCTATACATATACAAAAATATAAACTACATTAGAAAAAGAATCTGATTGCATTAGAATTGGTTAAAATTATACAAATCAGATTTTTCTAATTGAATCGGTTATAATTTTAGTTGAGATAACCAGATTCTGATTTATGTGATTAAAATTTTCTGATTCGTTTATTTTCAACTAAAAATTTTTCTAAGTGAATTACTTGAAAAATGTAATATTTTATTAAATTATCTTTAATAATTAAAATTATATGTTAGTAGTAGTTAGTAACAAAGTTTTCTGCAAGCGAGTTTGCAATTAATTTTACGACAAACCGGTTTATGTGGTAGATACTCATTTAATTACTAAATGTTCTGGACATGTTTTAATGTACCGCAAACTATTTTAAACGAGTTATTTCAAGCGAGTATTTTGTGATTTAAATTATATGAACATTTAAAATATATTTTATTAAATAAACGAGCAAAATAAATATAAATGAAAGAGCTATTTTCACGAATTTTATTACATTAATATAATTAAGATAATTATCTTATATACGTTGTGATAGTATAGACTCGTAAGATAAAAATCCAGAAGGGGGAATAATGCCTAATCGAGTCAATGCACTTGGTGTTGGTGTGTTGTATAAAAGAGTTTATTAGAGATGTATACATTTACGTTTCGATCCTAGTTTGGATCCTTATCAAAATGAAAGTTCAATCTAAAATATATCATTGTGCTACCTAGAACACTTAATAAGATAAAAAATGGTAAGACGATTTACAAAATTGTATTCAAATAATATGTTAAAATATAAATTTACAACGTTCTTTTATAATATAAAAGTTCTCTTATATAAGATAATTATCTTATATACGTTTGTACAAATATTTAATAGACATTACCTGACAGATCGTATCTTGGAAAAGGATCATCATCACCTTCATTTATGTCGTAACTAATGGCCGCATCCTAATTTTAAATGTTACAATTATAGATAGAATTAAGATATATATACATGCATATGTATATGTTATTATACGATTCGTCAAAAATATTCTCTATTCTTTTTTTAAATAATATTAAATTGTTAAGAGACATAACATTACTTTATAAACTAGGTTATAATGTTTAATCTTAAATACAATGAGAGTACAGTCAACATGATGCTACAGATACTTTAAAATATTCTTTGATTACTTATTTATTCGTCAAATTTTTTTTTAATTAATCAATCAAAGCTTGATAGCATATTTATAATTAGACTTTGACTGTACCTCGTATGTATGTAATTTGAATACAATATACGTATACATATGATTAAATATGAAAAACATAAATATAACAATAGAGAATTTTCTGATTTAAAAATATTTTTTAAATTACTTGTTTCGTCATCTATGAGATGAACACGAAATTAGAAGCAAATGTTACATACATAATTATTCCGCAGGTCATCATGAGTGTATTCTAAACCGTCGTCGAGAACAGCAATCTTTATACCACGACCAGTTATCCCCAGTCGATAGAGAGGTAGAACGTTTAAGTCGAGCTTCGGCAAAGCTTTGTTCGTCCTAGTATCTTGCTACGACAGTTGATAAAGAGAATTCAAATTAAAAATAAAAAATGAACAGAATAATATGATGTATGAGCCTTTCAAAAGCCAAATTGCTTCACTTTTAAAAATGTGAAGTAGAAAAAAATTGATGAAATTATAAACTAATCATTTACGATAAGTGAAGTTGATTATAATAGTTTAGCTTCTGAAAAGTTTATATATGTACAAGTCACTGCACAATGTATGTTTATTATGCGCGTGTATTTCATTATTACAGATACCGATGTACACTTTTGTTATGTATTGTTTTATAGTAATTAATAAATTAAATAAATTACATTTATTATACAAGCAAACGAAATAATTAATAGTATTTATTTGAACTGTTATTGATACAATGTTTATTTTTTGTATAAATTCTGTGTAAACTTTTTTTTTACCGACTTTTTGCAGATTTATTTGTGCGTGTGTGTGTGTGGGTGTATCATAATCAAAATTCTAAAAATATGCGTATACTTAAACATTTACACCTATGTATAATATTTATTTAAAAATGAATAAAGGGCACAAGAGTCAAAAATTAAAACTAATCTTATATGTCAATTTTTAAAAAGATTTTTATTACGAAGATAAAATAGAAGATTGATGTTCTTAACAATATAATATGATATTGACATTATATTGTTAAGAACATCAATCTTCTATTTTATCTTCGTAATAAAAATTTTTTTTAAAATTGACATATAAGATTAGTTTTAATTTTTGACTCTTATGCCCTTTATTCATTTTTAAATTTATTTATTAACAAGAGTCCTTTATACATAATTTTATAATATGATATTTATAATTCTGGAATTATATGGATAAGATATATTACATATAGCAGTACTTCTTTCGTAAATAAATTTAACAATTGCTAAAACTACAATATTTTTACTTTAAAACTATTTTATTATAAATCTTTCCAGTAACTACAGCTAGCATTATTACAAGAAACTGTTCAAAAATTATTACAGGAAAAATGTACAAATGTTTTATAAATAATATTAAATATTAATTCTCATAGAAATAATTATGAACAATATGAATAAAAATGATATATAAACAATACAAACTGTTATTACCAGATACCATTCCTGATCCCAAAGTTCATCGTTGAATATCCGTAATTTATCGACAGCATCATGATTTTCATTGTTAATGGCATTTGATACATCTCCGTACATGAATTGTACGCGTTTCTCTCGTGTTAAAGGTTTTTCGGACTCCAAATCAGCAAACGAAATGTAATCACGTTTAAGACGTTTTATGGTTTTTTGTTGATCCGCCCAGATGATCTTCCCTCGATAAAACGTAAATTATGTTAAGAAAGTTGCGTTTCCTCTTCGTATATAATTTTACATTATTTATATAACTATACTTATCGAAAATTTATGTAACTGTGTTGCCAAAAAATCTTATTACTAATAATATTATTGATAATACATTAATTTTATGTTAGAAATTATTAATTTATTATCAATTTATTATTAAAGTTATTGATAGAAATTATTAATTTTCAATCTCTCTCTCTGTCAAAGAATTCTCTCTATAGAACATTATTTGAAGTTATAAAATAAGGTTTGTAAAGTATAAATATTACCTTAGAGTTTGCATTAAGGGCCTTTGTCAAGCGAATATTTCCTCTTTTCTTCTGGCTTGGATTATCATTCTTATGCCATATATATGTGTCCTTGAATCCGAGAACCTAAATGAAGAGATCCATTACATGTAAATTTATCAAAAAGGCCAATACGGATTGCATATTTAATGAACTTGAAGTAAGATTAAGCCTTTATTTAAATTTTTGTTTAAATAAGTGTTAAAACTCGGACCTTCCATTTATTCTCTTTTCGCAGTTGGTCCCTTTTCTCAGTATTCCTAGATATTCATAGTCAGCATAGATTATTACTATAATATATTTCATCTATAAGAATCGACGAATATATATTTTTGTGTTATTTTATATTCTCCGTAATTGAATACATTTTCTATTTCAACTTTATTTACATTATTTAGTGATATACAATAATTACATTAAAGACAATAGCTTATTGTATATAAATATACAGTTAATTTTTAAAATATAAACAAACGTTATTGATATCATTTTTATATTTTTGAAAACAATTAAAGCATTACAAAATTAATAATGCTGAAGTGTGTTCAACAGTTATATAATATTTATAATAGGATCAAATAAAATATCAGAATTATTAAAATAAAAAAATGTATATTTTTACTTAAAAAATATGAAAACACTATTGTGCAAAATTAATACGTTTAATGTGGACTAATACGTGAATTAAAATTTATCTTTTTCGAACATTCATTAATATCGAATCTCTATCTCACGCATTGATATTAACTACCCTTCGTTGAAGTTTAGGGTAAGGGTAGAACTAGACGTCCCGACGTTCGCGCCCGTTAAATGGATGAAAGGGACGCTACGATCAGGATAGCATACAAAAGTAGTTGGTAGATGAGGCAACTCTTTTGGGGGGAACTATCGAAAGTCTAAATGGGGTATCGTAACGTTATTATTATCCACAGTGTCACGTGGCCGGTTTGCCTTCGTTTTTGTATGGCATCCGCATGCGATGTTCCGCATGGCGTAAAGCAATATGACAGACTGAGCGAGGGAAGAGTGTAGGAGGGGAGACCACCTGGTAGGAAACTGGGTGTCGTTTGTGCAAGGGGAAAGACTATGATATTTCCGTAACGCATCAGACACGTGCCGTTTATTTTGAGATACCTCCTAACTCCAATCTGCCTGTCCTTGTAATTGTCGATATGCACTTTTTTCGCATGGAACCATATTGGCATTTATGTCATCATTGTCGTAAATTAGTTCGAACGGTATTATGGTGACATTTTGACATGTATCTATTGACAAATTGTGCTTTACTTTCGACTCGACAGCTTATAGACGGTATAAAAAGTTAATCCACTATATATATATATATAATAATTCTAAATAAATTTTAAATAATTAGTAATTTTTTAAATGCTATAAAATAAAGACATGTAGTTATTATTTTTGAACTAATTACTTTTATCTATAATCAATATTTTATATATTTTGTATAAAACTTTTTAATTATTTTATATATTAACAATGTTATTAAATATTAAACTTGTATTTTATGTACGCAATTAATTACGTTGTTAAACATATATTAATATATTATTATGATAATAAAAATTGATATATTTTTAATAAGAATTTAAATTATAAGAATTCTATCTTTGTAACATCTTAGATTGTCTATTTATTCGGGCATATTTTATCAATTAATTCCGAGAGGGAAACAAGCGGTTTCCTTCATGTATTATGTTTTTCATGAATATATAGATAATACTAAACGCGATCAAACTCCGCAGCAGAGTCCAAGGAAATTCAGGCCACCGGGATTATAAAACAATAATCCCTTCGTCTGCTATCCTCTTAATCCCATACAACATGCGCAAAAATCCTTTAATCCACTATCCATCATATCTGTTGTACATTCGATTGGAAGGAATAAATTTGATCATCAAAATGCTTCGCTGAACTCGCTGATAAACTACTGAATATCCGGCGGGATATACTTTTCAATACAGCGGTGCATGAATGTTGCACGTTTGCGTATCCGTGATCACGTATGCCACGCACGCCGCATTAAGCATTTAGGATTTTACATCGCGACTCATGGATCGATCGACCTTCTATCTTGTGAGAACACAGATTTATAAATGTAATATAGATTCAGTACTAAATGACAACATGTGGAACAATTTGATAGGAAGATTTGCTAACATTTTCTCAAGCCTATAACTAAAATAATGAAAAAGAAGAACACTACATTATAATATAAGGTTATACTAATAATACTACTGCTTTATTTGAAAAGACTACATTAATTGGAGCTCTTTTCCTTTATCATAATATTTGCTATGGGAAATCGGATTCATCAAATAACTTCCGCGTACTCTTTTAGCTTGACATTAATTATCGTTTATTTTACTGATAGAGCAGAATTAGTCTTATGGAAGATATCGAATGAACGAATTTTAAAGTAAGTTTTAAAATAACTGATAATAAAATTTTGCAGTAACTTCTACTTCGTGGGTACGTGTTCCGTCGTGAAAGGGGTTAATTCAAGAAATTTTGCGGTTCGATGTAGCTTCCGCAAACTTCTCCGCCGTAGAATTCTTAAAGGAGGTTCTTGATCGGCACGTGAGCGCTTCCGATCCTTTTACCAAATGACTTCAAGGTCGCCACTTTTAACACGGAAGCATAGGACAGATAGAGCACGTTCTTTCTAGGTGTCACGCGGGGTTCTCTCTTAAATTCCACGTGGGAACGCTTCAAACTCGAATTCGTCGACTACGTGATAATGGCCCTTTCCTCTCTCCTCGTAATCGGTAAGCACAGCAGTCGGAGAGAACACGAAGGTTGCACGGACGTGTACGTGAGAAGAGAAAATCAGAGACGGTCATTACTTCACAATCAGCGAGCGACGAGGCGAATATTACGGTTATTACCGAGTATTACAGTGATATCGCAATGTTAATCTGATACGAAATAGCTCTCCTTAGTAACATTAAGCCGTGGATGTACATATCGGGTTTTTCCTTAAATAAACACGAGTTGACTCAATTTCCTTAATTTACTTTTCTTTAACTATTAGAGAATATAATATTAATTAAACTAAGAGGTATTGTATTCTAAAATCGATGAGAAGTAAACACACAATTTTCTGTTAAATTTGAAATGGATAATTTAACTTGATTAAAGCTATAAGCTATTGAAAATAGAAGGCTTTTGCAAATTAATTTTTAGAATGCGAATAGATAATAAAAATTATTATAATTTAGTAAAAAGTTGTGGCGTATAATAATATCCTTTAATATTTTCCAAAAAGAAATTGATTTTTAAAGATATACTTATTCAACAATTTTATCAATGATTAATTTTAGATAAATCAATATTCTAATATATCGCTCGTTTATAAAAAAGTGACACAAATTAATAACTTTCAGGAGAGCATTTTTTTAATTTTGAACTGAAACAACATTTTGAGAAAAAATAGTATGTTTTTTATAACTGTATTTTTTAGTATTGACAACATATCTTCATAATCTTCATATGGTTTTGTTTTATTGAAACATTATTGTAAACTTGATTTAAAAGAATAAGCAACACTTCTGTCCTTTAGCGGTAAATTAGGAGATTTATAAATATCGTATATCATTTTTCCAATAAAAGAAATATTTTTAGAGTTGATTTCCTGTTTTATCATTACCTCAAAAATTCTAGTTTTTTAATTATATGACTTTTCTGTTAAATAAATTATGTTAAAAAATTTAATTTTACTTCAATTATATAATATAAGTACGAATCGATTTTTATTTTGTGTATATAATTCACAGTTAAGTTTACAATTTAAACTTCTAATTTTACATCATTACATTACGTTATCCTGTTAGATAATATTCGCCAATTGGTGAAGTTTCGCTTAGTCATATCCTCCTTCCTTGCCATTTAACGATTCCTCTGTGCGAACTTTTGGAAAAGGATTATGCTATTCTGTACATTTCCTATTCAATCGTTTTAAGCTTGGGTGAAAGCGTTTCGGAGATTGAACATCATACCACTGATAGTAGTATTTTTTGCGTGTGCGAAGGCGTCCGTGAGAAATATCTTTGTGCGCGTAAAAAGGAAGAAACTCTGATAGAGGCGAGAAATCAGTGCCGGTCATTACTTTGCGATCAGCGAACGATTCGTCTTATCGGTATTCAGATTGCGCCTTCCGACTGCTAAGAGGGATGTCCTCCGGGTGTCTCGTATTTGATATAGATACAAGAAAGTCTGCGCATCAATGGTCCAAGTCGCTTGTATCTCCCTCCAGGCGAATATTGGGCGTGGAGCGTGAGCAAAGATGAGAGAAATGGAAAGAGAGATGAGCACACGCAGAGAGAGAGAGAGAGAGAGAGAGAGAGAGAATTTTCGCAGTCCATTTGTTTTGATCGGATTTCCAACTGTCTCTCGTAATCCCGCACCCGTAAGCTCCCGCAGGCGTCGTCAGTTTGCAATGAAAACCCTAACGTCTCTATCCTCTTCTTCCTACCCGGGCTTGCCCGCTCTGTCTTGCCCGAGCAACCCTCGTCGTCGGTTCCCGACCACACCTTGCCTGTCTCTTGAATTCCTGTGAGCATTCTCTGTGTTCTGGAGGTATTTCTGCGTACAGAAATGTCTGTCTACCTGCGTATGTTTATATGAGGTGTTGTAGGTATCGCGTGATCTCTCCAAACTTTATAGACTTTAAATCTGTCAAGTTACACAGAGTTCTCGAAAATAAGATCCACTTTTTGCCTTAAAAGAAATATTAAAGAAGCAATAAATTATAAACTAAAGAGTTATAAACTAATAAAAATAAAATGCACTTTCTGGGAGATAAGTTTCAGAAATGTAGATATCATTAAAAGATTTCGAGTATATTCTTAATTTTATTTTAAACAATCTATTTTAACACAGATTCGTAAAGGAAAACCATATTAAAATTTGTCAAATAATATATAAATGAGAAATTAGACAACTCTTACGCATTACCTTATTATTACAAGATTTATTCTGCACAAGACTGCATCATGCAGTCTACATGTAGTACGTCTTGATGTCGAGACATCAATAATTTCTTAATGCAGCTGAAGAGCCGTTAAAAA